ATGTAAATAGTTATTCCTCAGCTTCACAATGATTCAGGCTGTATCTGAAGCTGACCCTCAGCCGGCACACATTTCCTTTCTTCTTTTTGTCTGGAAATGTTGAAAAAAAAAACAACAGAAATACTGAAAATAGAAAATATAATATCTGAATAAACCAGCCTGTCTGACAGTTTATGTTTATGATGCTCAATCATTACATCACTGTCTGTCATTAGTGAGTCTACATCATAATTTCTGAATTATTCTGCAGTCTAACTAGTCAACAATCCAATAAAGTCCATATTTTACATGTTTAATATCAGTTAATAATGTCAGATAAAATCAATTTTAAATAAGGTTAAACATGATCATTGAAGCTGTTTAATGTTAGCAAACAGGTTTTACAAATAAATAATTAATTTGGGTGAAATATGTGTAATATTTACCTGTGAATTATAACCCTTTTATCTCTTGTAAACATGTTGTAAACATTTCTGTAGTTTATAACAAAGTATTTGTACCATTTGTACTTTTATAAAGTGTTTGTTTTCACTGTGCTACGTTCTGCTCATTGATTTCAATGTTAGCGTTAGCATTAGCTCAATGCATAAAAATCCTGCTTGTGAAGCCACGCCCAGGTCACATGACGCCCAATCCAGTAATAAATATCAGTGGCTGTAGCAGCTGCTACCGCTGCGCTGCAGCCCTGCTGCCCTCAGCAACATGACTGTGTCGTCCTCAGGTCCACTCCTGCCTGCTCAGCGTGCGCTCAGGGAAGGACGGCTGGTTCCAGCTCTACAGCCCAGGGGGCGTGGCCTGTGACGACGACGGCGAGCTGTTTGCCAGCATGGTGAGTTCAAAACCACTTCTTATTTCTGTTTGTTTGTTTATTATGGTGCAACAAAATGTTTAAACACACACTGCTGCTCTTCCTCCGGTCCAGGTCCACATCTTGATGGGTTCCTGCTATAAAACCAAGAAGTTCCTGCTCTCCCTGGCTGAGAACAAGCTGGGTCCCTGCATGCTGCTGGCCCTGCGGGGGAACCAGACCATGGTGGAGGTCCGTCTCTTCTTCTTCTGTGCTCGCTTCACACGTGCAGAAGAAGAAGAAGGCTGACGTGTGTGTTTGTGCAGATCCTGTGTCTCATGCTGGAGTACAACATCATCGAGAACAAAGACACACAGCTGCAGATCATCTCCACCCTGCAGAGCACGCAGGTGGGCTTCAGGATGTACGAGCAGCTCTGCGACCGGCAGCGGGAGCTCAAAGAGCTGGTGAGTTCTGGGCCCTGACCCGTTCAGGTCCTGAGCTTACAGACCTCCACAGGTACACACAGGGAGAGGCAGCACTTCCTGTGCAGCCTGAGCTCACTTCCTGTCAGAAGAATAACATATTTATACACATTTTAAAGTCTGCAGCCAGGATTAAATTATTAATTATTTATTATTAATTATTATTATTCCTCCCGCCTGAGGTCAGGTAAGGTATTTATCACAGCAGACATGTCCTGTATCGCCCCCTGCTGGTCCCACAGGTTTATCAGTTGTAACACAGGCAATTAAACATTTACAATATTTGTGTTTATTCTGGTCTCTTCTGTACGACGGCACATTAGGGCCATGTTGCAGATGAAAAAAAGGAGCAAATCTCCAAGAAAAAAACTCAGAATTTCTGAGATTAATTTCAGAAATTTTCGAGAAAAAAAACAGGAAATTCTCTTATTTTGAAAAGTCGCAAATTTGTGAGAAAAAAACTCAGAAATTTCCATAATTAAAGGCAGAAATTTGTGACATTTAAACAGATATTTTCTGACATGGTAAAGTCAGAAATTTACAAGAAAAAAACTCATAAATTTATGAGAAAAAAATGCAGAAGTTTTCATGAATAAAGAGTGATTCCACCTGTTTTCACCACCTTGAGCATCTTTAATCTGCTCTACTTTAGAAGCTAAAACACGTAGAGACGTCAAACCTGGACTAGATTATTCTACTCTGACTGCAGAATGTTTAAAACCAAGTGTTTGATTTGTGAAACATATGTTTGATATGTGAAGCTAAAGGAAATATGGTGATTTCAGCAATTTTTATGAATAATTATTTCAAAATAAGAGAATTTCCTGTTTTTTTCTCAAAAATTTCTGATCTTAATCTCAGAAATTCTGAGTTTTTTTTCTCAGAGATTAGCTCCTCTTTTTTTTTTTTTTTCATCAGCGAAGTGGCCCTAATACGTCATCGTGCTTCTGGTATCCAATAAACTTCAAAAGTATATATATTTTTATTTTTTAGCAAAGAAAAGGAGGCCCCACCCGACTGACCCTGCCCTCCAAATCCACGGTGAGCCCAGATGAGTAATCCTGGCTAATCTGGAGTCAAACCGTTTCAGATGTTTCATTAAACGTTTCCTCCTGCCTGCAGGATGCAGATCTGGCCCGTCTGTTGAGTTCAGGCTCCTTTGGGAATCTGGAGAACTTGAGCCTGGCCTTCACCAACGTCACCAGTGCCTGTGCTGAGCAGCTCATCAAACTGCCGTCACTCAAACAGCTGAACCTGTGGTCCACACAGGTACCTGAACGCATCACAAACACACAAACAGCTGAACCTGTGGTCCACACAGGTACCTGAACGCATCACAAACACACAAACAGCTGAACCTGTGGTTCTTGGTTCTTGAAGGCACCATGAACAGCTGGTGGTCCATGCATCTCTCTCTCTCTCACACACACACACACACACACACACACACACACACACACACCTCGTACTGACTGCAGGTCTTCTTGTTGTTCCTGCTGCAGTTTGGAGATGCTGGACTCCGGTTGTTATCGGAGCACCTGGCCTGTCTTCAGGTCCTGAACCTGTGTGAGACTCCGGTCACTGACGCAGGACTTCTGGCTCTGAGCTGTAAGAAAGCTTCTGATTGGTTGTAAGGAGCAGGAAGTTGTGTGTGTGTGTGTTAAACATGTGGTGTGTTGCAGCCATGAAGAGTCTGTGCAGTCTGAACATGAACAGCACCAAACTGACCGCCGACACCTACGAGGACCTGAAGGTAAATCAGCTGTTTACCTTCAAAATAACAACGGGCTTCAGAATAAAACTCATACATACCCCTTCAAAATAAGAGTCTGATAAAGCAGATTTATTTATAAATATAAACTTTGAGCTTTTGTTTGTCTGCAGGCCAAACTGCCCAACCTGAAGGAGGTAGATGTCCGGTACACTGAGGCCTGGTGATCCTTCATGGCCCCGCCCACCTCCAACATGACCACACACACACACACACACACACACACACAC